GACGCCCAGCTTCAAGCGTTCGAGGACCTCAAGCAAGGATGATCGCTCCGCCGATCCTTGCCCTTCCGCGGTACGGCCGGCCGTACATGATCGATACCGATGCAAGCGCGTACCAACTCGGGTGTTCGCTGCTGCAAGAACACGACGAAGCCAACGACTGGCGTCCCGTCGGATATTGGTCGTATTCGTTAAACGACAGCGAACGCAACAACGGCGCTACGGAACGCGAGTGCTTCGCAGTAGTGTGGGCCGTCCGCATACTACGCCCGTACGTCGAGGGCACGAAGTTCACCGTCCGAACGGATCACGACGCCCTGAGGTGGCTCATGTACCTGACCGAGAGCTCCGGAAGACTCACCCAGTGGCGGCTACGTCTGGCTGAATACGATTTCACCATTCAGTACCGCCCTGGGCGCGTGCATGAGGTCCCCGACGCCCTGTCACGCCTCGTATCACCAAGGGTCGCCGACGACCCTCGCCCGGCTGTCGAGGTGGATGACGACATCCCCACCTACGACACGGGCACGACCGTTCGTGATGTCTCGGATGAGTTCGCGGACCACGTATGCACCGCGAGCTGCGACTACGAGGCCGACCACGTCTTCGTGACCACAAGGAACCGAACGAAATCCCGAAGGAATTTGCGCGCCCGAGCCGCGACGAGCCGAGGGGCGACGACGAAGCCCCCGCTCTAGAAGAGCCCGACGCCTTCTGGGCAGAGAACGAGGAGTTTGACGCCGTGGACTTCGAGTGGACTTCGATCGCGCCCAAGACTTCGAAGCCGATACGTCGGGTTCCCAGGTCGCCCCCACGCAGGACGACCTGCCGGCCCCTTTTAAGATAGAGGAGAGAGCTGACGAACAACGCGTGGATGACTTCTGCCAAACGGTATTGGCACGACAGTCAGAGTCCCGGGACTCCGCGTTCTTCGAGGACCGCCAAGGGGTTCTCAAACGGAGACACCCCCTCGACCCTGATATCGTACAAGTGGTGGTCCCTCGGACCCTACGCGCCCGGTTGCTGCGGCTCTGCCATAACCCGGCCATCGCCGGGCATCCGGGGCAGAACTGCATGTACTACGCGCTCCGTCGCAAGTACTACAGGCCACACTTGGCCGCGGACGTCGCGTCGACTGTACGAGGTTGTCGAACCTGTGCGATGAACCGCGTCAAGCTTCGGAAACACCTAAACCGACTGAGGTTGTTTCCGGCGACGCGGCCGTTGGAGAGCCTCGCGACCGATACACTGGGGCCGCTCCCAAAGACCAAGGCAGGGAAACGATTCCTCCTGGTAATCACCGACCGCTTCACGAAGTTAACGCAGGTCGTCGCACTGCGAACGGTATCCGCCTACATCGTCGCAGTGGCGTTTTGCGAAGCGTGGGTCTTTAAGTACGGCGTCCAACGCTCGCGACTGTCGGATAACGGACCGCAGCTCAACGCAAAGTTCTTCCAAAGCACATGCCGAGTGCTTGGAATTACGAACCTTTATACGTCGGCGTACCACCATCAGATGAACCGGTAAGTGGAACGCTACAACCGAACGATTGCGTCGATGCTCCGCAATTACGTGAACGAGCATCAAGACGACTGGGACGTGTACGTGGGACCGTTAGCGTACGCATATAACTCCCACGTACACCGAACCACACGAACGACCCCGTCTGAGCTCGTGCTCAGCCGACCCCCGCCGGAGTTTTCTCTTCGACGAACAGGCGGGGACGCGCCCTCTGCCGATAGGGGAACAGAACGTGCGGAGTTTCTCAAGACCCTGGACGCGACCATCCAGAAGGCCTACGGGAGCTTGCGACGCACGCAAGCCCGTTACAAACGCAACTTCGATAAGCGCGTTCGAACGATCAACACACGTCTCGACCCAGGTAACTTCGTCTACTTGAACCCCACTGACGGGGGCAAGACGTCGAACAAGCTCGCCTCGCCCGCCGTGGGGCCATACAGCGTCCTCGCCAACGACCGTCGAACCATCACAATCGATCGTGATGGTGTCACCGAGCGGGTGTCGGCAGACCGCTGCGTGTACACGCCCCCGCCGATGGACGCACCACGGGTGAGCACTAGGACCCCGCCTGACCTTGCCGACAAGGTCAGGGAGGGAACACAGTACGCCGTAGAGAAGTTACTCAAGCATCGAGAGATGGAAGACGGAACAACGGAGTTCCTCATCAAGTGGGCGGACTACGACCAACCCACTTGGACGGCACGCACCCACGTCCCCGAGGAATTGGTGTCTCGCTATGCGCTGCGTCTTCGAAGACGCACGGGAAGGGATCTCAACCCCGAAGTGAACGCGGACGTTCACTGTTAAGGAGGGGCCCCTCAAACGCTCCGTCGACCGGATAAATTATTCCCCTCGACCCTTCGCGGTCCGTAATGGCGGAGGTCTACGCAAGGACACAACGAGTTTGGCCGGCCAACCTCGGGGACGCATGGGATGTCCAGTCGACGCGCTGACAACGCAAGTTCACGCGAACCGTCATCACCGACGAGAGGTGGGTCGTGGGACAGGGCGTACTGTGTCACGAACGGTAGCCCTGGGACGTTAAGTGAAAGGAGGGAGGACACGACGTCCCAACGAACACGACGACATGCGCCGGTGCGCTATACTCACGAAGCCGTTGCAGTTCCGTCGTGTGCAAATAGAGTACAGCGCACCGAGCGCGCTGGAAGACCATCAAGCCGAAGTAATGGAAGTCTTCCGAACGCGCCCGGCATAGGCCTCAGGCAGTCCGTACTGCCCGGGAGGGGACGACCCTTGAGGAAAGGGACCAGGCGGGCAGCAACTGCATGCGCTCGTTAAGTGCGCGCGCGCATAAGCAGTGACGCGTTCAATCAGATCTGAGAGCCGATGACGGAATGGAGGGGCCGCGGCGCAGTCAAACCACCGCCACTGGCCAAAAAAAATTGGAAATATAACTGGGGGTATGGAACGATGCCAACAACCCTCTGCTCCCAGGCAAAAGCCAAGCAGTGATAGGAATCTCTGACAGGTGGACCCACCAAGTGCTCTCCAAAGCTACTCCGCCCCCATCCGTGGCGCGCGGAATTCGTCCGCTGCGAGGGAGAATGGGCCCTCTGGAAGAACCGACGAGCTTTCCAGACCCATTGCGGTCATCATGCAGTGGCAGGCACATTTTGCTCCTTCCAGATTCGCGCTACCGTTGTCGTTGACACTGCCTCTCAACTTCAAACGCGCGAGATTGCAGCGGCAGTACCTCATTCCGTACGCGTACAGATGCCTCAACACGCGCGTCGCGCGCCCAGTTAGGACCGATGCGAGTCGCTCGTGCAAAAGGGAAACTCTCACCGCTGCTTAACCCGCCAGCCCTACCGAAGGGTACGCACGCACGAGCGGTGAGGAACACGCCGGACGCTTGCCGCAACGGAAGACGAGCGATACGCTTGGGCGCCGAAAGGGACGTGATGGGTCGGAACGTTCCATCCGTACCACCTCACGAGGCATTTCCCATGTGAATCGCGCCCGACGATCTCCATTCTGTCTCGGTCGGCATGCTCAAGGGACGGACACCCCCGACACGCGATTGGGGGTAACGCCGTAGCCGATGTGGATTAGAAAAAATGTGACGATGTATGAACACAAGTGCGGCGCGTGTGACGGAAATCGCCCCCTCGCCGAATGCTCACAGAGCGATGCATACCCAATCTAGGGGTGACTAGCGTGGAAGACGAGGAGGTGCGGAAAGAAGAAATACGAAAGAACGGTACCAGTCAAGAAAGGAACCGAAGAGGTCCGTTAACGGTATCAGGGTACATTTGCACCTACAACCACTACAAAGGAAGTTAACGACCATCTTTCTTGGCCGTCCACGTGATGTCGAGCTCGTCCGACGCCGGCGGAAAGTAGCTGGAGTGACATGGGAGAGCCGCTCCCATCTCTACAAGGGCGGGTTGGATGCTACGGGAACGATCGTGCTGCACACACGCCCGGCGACGCCGTCGTATATACGGGCCTCGGGAGCGATCAGAGACTCAGGGGCGTGCCTTCCGATCCCTCAGTTGACAAGGGAGGGAAGGAGATAGCTCTGCACGCAACCTTCGCGACGAGGCAGGCTCCGTTCGGGGCACCACTATGTAGGCGCATACCACAATGATGTCGTATATACGACCGTCCGTGACCCCGAACTGCCCGACGCCCCCATCCCTGGGTGGAACCTCGGAACTGAACGGAAGGCTCGTGACGGAGAAGCGCCCACGTACTCCCTCCCCCACGAAAAAGGGGTAGACAAGGCGGAAGTGGGCCCGCGCAACGGACGTTGTAGAGAGGAACCGCGCTGTACCTACACTTCGCGACGACGTTGTATTCACGGACCTTCATGGCAAGCGGGGACACTGCCCTCGATAGACGGTGGATAAACGGAGACTGTACCGCGCTTACCCCGTCCCAACGGCAAGTCTCCGTCCTTTGTGAACTCGCTCGGGAAGGAGGCCGCACTTCTCGCCCCCCCCCGCTCGCATCCCGTGAGGACACCCGGATACTCATCTCAGACGGACGGAGAGGGACGAGCCGCTCACAACCGCATGCGTCGGACGGCACGCAGACTGCAAGAGAAAATTAGGCAAGCGGATCGCTACGCAAAACTGGGGACGGTGGTAAACGGACGCGAGGCGCAACGAACTGTAGAAGTCTCCTCAGAAAACTACGGAAATGGGTGCACACCAGTGGACATATGCATTGCTGGAGCAAAAGCTAATTCTGACGTCGTTGCGTTCTAATTTTCAGAAGAATTTGGAGCGGCGCATGACAATGCATCCCTCACAGCCCGTGCTGGGAAATTTTGCGGAAAAGATTTTGGCGGGAAACATTTTTGCAAACGATTTTTGGGATGATTTCATTAAGGACTCAGGGGTGTGCCTCTTCGCGCACGCGCGTGCACGGGTACTGTACACCACGAACGTCGTAGACGCTGTATACAGTAAGGGTCGGACGGACACTGACCGGCCGGCGACGCAGGGCCTCTGTACTCATCGGATGGATACACTGAGACCCGTTCCAGAGTCCGGGATGATTCCTACCCGAATCTCCCTATCATACCACTTATAACTTGTACTTTGTTCATTGGACAGTTCGATGTTAATCTTTGACATTAAACTTAATCTCCTGACTGTAAGTAGCGAAGAGTCACAACAAGTGCAGGTGCGCTACTGGTCCTTATTCTGGTTGCACGACACTGCACAAGGAGAAGAAGGGGCAAGTGGAACTCTCTGAATGGCCACGGGAAGCGTCGTGAGCAGAGCAGAAACAAGAAAGCCGTACAATACTTTCCGCGTCCGATCCGGATTGCACTCTCACGGAGCAACTCCACGACAGCATATGAAGCGGGAGTGGCAAGGTCATGGCAGAATGTGCAGGCTACCACCACTGCAACTGCACTGGCCATCGACTCCATTTGCTTGGCTTGACCCCTGTTCTCCTCCTCTCCTTATCCCCTCATTCCCCAATCTCCTTCTTCTCTCTCTCCTCTCCACCCTCCCTCTCCCCTTCAAAGTGATGGATATTGCGCCAGTCTCACGCCCATACCCACGCCGATCTCCAAGGCGATCTCCCAGGCGAACTGTACTTTCTAAAGCGCTGCAAGATGAAATAACCACACCACCGTCCAATTTGGAAGAACCGCGATGTGGCTACTCTAGTTACACTGACAGTGCTTCTCCACTGCACCCGAGGGCTTTATTACAGGCAGATGGAGATACATGTGTCAAAGACATACCTGGAAGTACGAAAATGTTTACGTTCTTTTCCGGAATGACCAAAAAGGCCAACGCCGAAATAGCATAGGAATGGAAACTGAGAACTTGGGGTAACAAAATGGACATCGTCTACCGCAATTATCTGTTTGTGCGGCACAGGGGGAAAGATGGGTATACATTTGAGTTGACGTGCCAATCAAACAAAAAATGTGGCAGCTTTCATAAATTTGTTGAGGATTGCGAGAGAAGCCAGGATGATTTTGATTCACCTCCTCCATTGAAGGATATTGTACAGGCTCTAAGAAAGTGTGGGGACCGCGGCGTCGGAGATGGTGGGGAATTAGCACAGGCAAAATCTCGGCAAAGTACGACCACCAAGAACGCTCCATTGTTTTCGCTCTCTGAGTTCGCGAGACTCTGTGTCATTTTGGGTGATGATTCGCATGCTCGAAAAGCTCTTTTAGATTTAAACAATGCGCTTACGTTGGAAGATTTTCGTGCAAACTTCACTCGTGAAGATCTTTGGCGAGAAATAGCGAAGCGCTTCAATGATGCATCTGTATCGTACGAGGAAGATTTTTCAACTTCCGTGCCAGAGGTATGTTCCGCAGACCCTCCCCTTTGCGCAAGGTCAGCTGAGACACTGAAGGATGTGTACCAGAGGACGCGATCGATGTTTACTCAACGCTTTGAGTACTACAATAGGTCTGGTAACAATGACCCGGAGAGCTTCCCGAACTATTTGTGGCCACACGATAAGGAGGGAAATGTTGTAGTAGCAGATATGAAACGTGTGTGGATTTTTTTCGTCGTGTGTCGTCTAGATACGAAGGAGCCCGACCATTTTTTGCTAGATGTCAGCTTGAAAACTTTTGCTGCGGGAATGGAGGGAGGAGGGAGGTACGGGTCTGCTGGAAAATCTACATCTTCATCCGGGAAGAAAAGAAGAAGTTCTTCGTTTGAGCAAGCTGGTGAGGAGATAAAAGAAATGCGAGTGGAGACCCAAAACCGCTGGGTAGAGGTAAGGGAAATGCTTGCCCGCGCGCATAGTACGACGGAGGGGGCAGGAAAACATCCCACGCCTCTCTCCGACGAAATGGTTAACGAAGACTGGTACGAAATGATCAAAAAGCGAACTCTGCGCCTCAAACGAGTAAAGGATGCTGGGGCTGGTGAACGCATAATTCAGATGTGTCAGCAGGGTTTGGAAGAGGCTATCGACAAGTTCGAGAAGCAGAAGCGAGATGCAGGCATTAGGGAGTCATAGTTTACAAGTTGTGAATTCGGGCTCACCAGTACAAGGCCGAGCGCCTATCCGCCTCGACCGGCAGCACGCTAGACCAGCCGGACGACAACGAGCACTCCCTCTCTCCTGCCCTTCATCCGCACCTCACCCCACAATGTCTCGGCGCCCTGCTTTCTAAGCCTCTCTCCCCGTCCGTCTCTCCGCGCGCCCGCCGCCGCTGGCCCATGCGTGCCGGCGCAACCGCGTGGCGGCCACGCCTTGCCGCACTGCGCGCCGCGTGGCGGCCCCTCATCCCCCTCTCTGCGCGACTTCCGCGGCCGGCGTCCTCAAGGACGAGGTGATCCGGGTGCCGTCCACCGTGCCGGCGGACCGCCACCACCCCGTCAAGGTCTCGCTGCGCGCGGAGTCACTGGGCCGCCGCCGCCGCGTGGTTGGCGGCGTCGACATCGCGGCCACGCCTGCGCGCGTGTGGCGCGTCCTCACGTCGTACGACCGCATCGAGCGCTACATGCCTAACATCGTGTCCAGCACCGTCGAGGACCGCGATAGCGTCGTGTATCTGGACCAAGTCGGCATCCTTTCGAACAAGCTCGGACTCAGATCGCGCATGCTGGTCTAGGTGCACGAGAGGGAGGAGGACAGATTTATTTCCTTCTCGAGGGTCGAGGGGAGAGACTTTTCGGAGTTTGTCGGGAGTTATTCGGTTAGCGAGGTCGAGAGGGGAGTGAGACTCGATTATGAACTCGTCGCCATGCCGTTTCCACTCTTCCCTATGTACTTGGTCGAGCGGAAGGTGTTTAAGGAAATCCCGATGATGCTCGCCTCGATTAGGGAGGAGGTCATTTTGGGGCTCGTTATCCCGTTTGAAAACGAATAAGACCTAACAGTTTTGTTATTCCACATTCATCTCGTACTAATCTCATCGCCAGCTCACTCTCACATTTGTGTCAATTTTATCTCGCAACATCTTTACCTTATTATCCAACTAGATCTAACTCAACGCTCCCGTTGCAGTCAGTTACAAACAAAATCAGGGAAAACGCACTAAATTTCACTAGGCAAGTCGTCCACTCAGTTGAAGACATACCTTACGCCTTCGCTTTAAGGATCGATGGCAGGAAGTCAGAGGGCTCCTCTAACCCCAGCAAATTGAGTACTGTAGCTCCCAGGTTAGCAATACCCGCAGCCATGCAGTCCGGGTCGTCGCCCCACCGTGCAGATTCGTTGAGCTCGTAGTTTTCAATCACATTCCCAGTCACCACGCACGGCACTTGTTGCTTCGTGTGCGACACCTTCGCCCTCCATTCTTCAGGCTGCGACCCCGGCTTCGGATTTCCGTCCTTTCCGCACTCGGCCATGATATCGCAATTGCCATGATCGGCGGTGAGCACTACCACCCCTCTGCGGCTAATAATCTCCGGTATGACACACGCGAGGCACAGATCCACGCATTCCATCGCCATACGCGAGGCAATCATGTGCCCCGTGTGCCCCACCATGTCTCCATTAGCATAGTTGACGACCATAAGATCCGGCTTAAACTCGTCAAGATCCTTAACGATCTCGTCCGAGATCTCAGCTGCCTTCATCCAGGGCCTGGTCTGCTCGCGCTGCTTGTACGACGGCACGCACGTGTATTTCTCCATGTTCTCGTCGAACTTGGCGGCCCGATTCCCGTTGTAAAAGTATGTGACGTGGCCGTACTTCTGCGTCTCCGACACGGAGAAACGCTTCATGCCGTTCTTCACGCCATACTCAGCGACAGTGCGCTCGATCTGAGGTGACGAGACGAGGAAGCGCTTCGGAATACCAGCGTCGCCATCATAATGCATCATGCCGGCGTAGCGGACCTTCGGGACGCGCTTGCGATCAAAGTGGGTAAACTCACCCTCTTCAGCCTCGAATGCGGTCGAGATCTCGATGGGGCGATCGCCGCGCAAGTTCCAGGACAGCACTGAGTCGTTATCCTGAATGGGTCCGACGGCATCGCCGTTGTCATCCACGACGACGAACGGCCGAAAGTACTGATCAGTCATCTCTTCATCCTTGTAAAAGCCCTGCACGGCGTCAACTGAGGAAGAAAAGGTCTGAATGTTTTCGGTATCGCCCAAACAATGGGCGGCCCAGCCTCTCTCGACCATTCCCCAATCGGCCTCATACCTATCCATGGTGCACACCATACGACCGCCGCCGCTTGCGACGCGGAAGTCGACGCCGGACTCACGGATCGCTTCGAGGCGCTTTTCTAGCGGCCCGAAGTAGTCTAGTGTACGCCGCGCCCGCGCTCCCTGGGCCCCTACACCCCCTACAGCTACAAAAGGCGACCTTGTACTCGTGCAGGAACTTGGAGAACCGAAATTTCCACGGGGCTTGAATCCAGTTGGACTCCAAGAGGGTCGAGCGGCCGACCGG